AGGGACGGCAGAAGTCGTGAAGCCCTTCACGAAGGGAATCAAGTTACGGCCGGCGGCTTTTGCTTGGCGTGTCGCGGCGTCGCGTCTGTCCCACCGCGCTCTGGCGCGACACGCCGCGAGCATTTCCCAGCCTCCCGTCCCGCGGAGCCGCGGAGCGGAGCGGCACGCTATCCGCTCGCAGGGCTTAGCGTGTCGCTTTGGCCGCCGCCGCGATACGCCACGCAAAAGCCCTCGACCGTAAGCGTGGTGATACTGTTCCTCGGGAGGAGGAGGAGGAGGAGGAGGAGGAGGAGGAGGAGGAGGAGGAGGAGGACCTTTCCTAAAAATGATCCTGGCACCGATTACCCCAGCACGCTGCCCGAGCCGCTGTCCCACAGGCGCGGGCACCCAGGGAGGCAGGGCGGCCTTGCGCGGATGGCGTAATCCGTGGGATCGCGTGTCCACTGGATCGCATGTTGGGTCTCTCTGCGAGGTCGATTTGCGCGTCGCTCGTGGAGGTGTTCAAAGCCCATGGGATTCATACCGCCCCCCCCCCCGACGCCAAAACAGTGCGAAAATGCACCCAGCCTTACTTTTTGAGCGACGGTTGAGATCTGGCGCCACGGGTTGGTCGGCCCCTAGACCTCGCCAGGGGTTCGTTCTGTCCAGAAGTTCCGCGAGCAGTGGAGTCCATCCGCGGCGACGAGGGCGCCCCGAAAGCCCGAAACAGAACCCAAACGTTCAAACAAAGTGGAAGCGTGTTCCGAGATATCCGATATCTGGTTTGTGCTTGTTGCACCCTTATAAAAGGTATCATAAACCGAAGTAAATATAAGTGTGTGTATGTATAGATGCACATATATACGCCTGCGTGTGCTGATACGGTCACGATCGTTTGGTAGCGTTTTGCGCCGCTGGTTCTGTCTCACCGTGCTTTGGCGCGTCACGCTGACCACGTCGGGGCCGCCAAGCTTGCATCGTGCCGACCCTGTTCCAGCCTCCCGCCCCGCGGAGCGGAGCGACACGCTATCCGCTTGCAGGTCATAGCGTGTCGCTGTGGCCGCCGCCACCACACGCTAAGCAATAGTGTCCGACCGTGTATGTGTACATACAAACATATAACTATACTTATGAGTACATATACCTATGGGTATGTATATACCTGCATATATCAATATGTGTACAACTTTATGCTCCCAAGAGGTCTCAACTTTCCCCCAGACAGGGCGACTTTCTCATAGGTAGTGATCAGACGGTCCCGGGGCCCAGAGATGTCTCCCAGAGGCCGACATCGGCGACCCGTGTTTATGATCTACCAAGGCACATACACACATCCAAAGCTCGGTTCTCCAAATTGTTGTTCTCGGAAGAAATTAAGATGTTAGATGTTGACCCTCGATCTGTCAGCAATGCCCCGCAGGAACAAGTCAGCCAGATCCTCGACCCTGCACTCCCCGGATCCCCGGGCTCCCCCAAAGACGACACCTCGACCCTCGGCCTCTTCGCCCCCCCCCCCCCCGGCCCTCCCCGCCTGCCTGCCTGCTTCGACCCGCTGGCCCTGGCCGCTCGCCTGCGCGTGCTGTTGTCCTCTGCCTTCTTGGCACCGCTCGGACCTGCGCACGATCGGGCAGCACGCGAGGCCGTCCTGCGAGAACGACGCGGGGCGAGACCGAAGCATGCACGGGGAGTGGACGTCCGAGCGATGGCGAGTTGTCCTCTGCCCGCTTCTCCCCCCCTCCCTCCTCCTCCTCCTCCTCCTCCTCCTCCTCCTCCTCCTCCTCCTCCTCCTCCTCCTCCTCCTAACATGCACGGGGCGTGGACGTCCGAGCGATGGCGAGCTGTCCTCTGCCCGCTTCTCCCCCCGTCCCTCCTGCCGCGGCCGAGCGGCTCAGACTCTGCCTGGGGCTGGCGGCGCGGCGAACGCGCAGCGCCTCGCCTGGTGGACCCGAGAGGGGGTCCAGCGACACGGGGGGCGGTGCAAATGGAGCTGGTGCAATCGATTTGTGGGGCTGCAGCAAGTTTGGTGTGTGTGTGTGTGTGTGCGCAATACGTTCTGACCTTCGCTGCTCTGATACGCACGTTCTGGAACGTAACGCGTGCCGTGTGCAGAGCGTCCGTGTTCAAAACGTGTGTGTGTGTGTTGCGTGTTGCGTGTCGGGGCAGTTAAGGTTTTGGGTGTGCAACACATTCTGATGCACAAGCGTATTGCTGGATTTCCGCGCGCAATACATTTGTTGTAATACAGTGCAAAGCGTTCTCTGGCGCAAGACACGTGCAGTCCAAATGCCCCACGTCTACGGCACCAACCCTTTTCAGCTGGACCCCCTTTGGGGTCAACCGAGGCCTTGAGTGGTGGCCTTCGTCGGCGCCCCGGTGGCCCAGAGGCCCCCAGGCGCTGGCGACAGCGCCCGTCGGCTGGAGGGCGCCAGCTGCATAGCACACCTGCACAGATCCTGGCTGGCCCGTGTTGGACCCAGGAGCTGTGCGCATGTCTCGCTGACCAAGCCACGAGTCGGCGGTTCAAAGATGGGTCCCTGAGGGCTGCGGCCCGAAGGAGAGGAAGGGATCTGGGGCTGGATTTACCAAGGGAGGAAGAAAACGCCCGGACACGAAAGTTGGCGTTTACCAAACGGCCCTGGGCGTTTACTAAACAACCCTGCCCTGTTCGATTTATTATGATGGTGCGTCTGCTAAACGGTTTCGCGTGTCGGGGTGATCATTCCGGGGGTGGATCTTCTGCCTTCTGACTCACACTGTATGGGGCCCGTCGTCCTCAGGGCCCCATCCCTCAGAACCCCATCTTTGAACTGCCGAGAGAGGAGAGAGAGAGAGAGAGAAAACAAAAAAAGAGAGCGTGTGTACCCCGATCCTGAGCTTAGGGGCCAGGACGGAGGGGGGTGGGAGGAGGAGGAGGAGAAGGAGGAGGAGGAGGAGGAGGAGGAGGAGAAGGAGGAGGAGGAGGAGGAGGAGGAGGAGGGATGGGCCTGGCCAGGAGCGGTGCAGCAGGCGTGCAGTTGGCGCCCTCCTGCTCGCCGGGCCGCCGTGCGCAAACAGCCCCGCGCGGGGGCGGCCCCATGGAGCTGGCGCCCCTGCGGGGCCTCGGCCGGCCCGCGCTGGCCTTCGCGGGCGACCCGATGGCGCTCATCGCCGAGTTCCGCCTGAGGCGCCCGTACGCTCCGAGCGCGATTCTTCAAGCAGTGGCGAAGCGTCCCGGCTCGCCTATAGCCCTACCGAACAATGATCTACGAACCTTTTGTGGTCTGCACGAAATGTTCTTAGAACATTTCTGGTCGAGAGTGTCTTGTTTTCTCACATCGGGCTTATGTTCTTAGAACATTGTTTTGTTCTCGGAACATGTTGGGGTTCTAAGAGCACTTCGTGGTATGACTATAGGAATGCCGGGACGGTCGGTCCCTGCTCAAATTCTCACGGCGCCAGCATCGCAGAGCGGATTTCGACCGGAAAGCGATAGGGTGGGCATGGGGTGTCCTGGAGAAGGTCCTTCCGGAGACCGAGGTGAACTTCGTGCGGATTTCTTGTTGGCCAGGAAGGAATACCAACCACAGATCCACGCGAAATTCTCTTCGTTTCTCGCTCGCCGCTTCGGGCAGACACCACGCAGAAATCCGCTGCAGCACGTCTGCAAGGCAGGTGCAATCACGATTCTGAAGAGTGCCTTCGATCGTGTTGGAGGGGCGAGGCTCGATCGACGTGCAGCAAATTATTCAAGGCCAGCCACAATTGGGGGAGCTGAGGTCCTTACCCCCCTGGGGGGCCCATCGATTTCGACACCCCTCTCGAGAGATCGTCGATGCGATGGGTTCCCCCAGCGGGGGTAAGGACCACAGCTCCCCCAGTTATGGCTGGTCGGTAATTCGTGCCTGGACTCTCCGAAGATCTCTCGGACGCCACTCCACGTCTGCCTGGGAGATCCCCGAGCTTCGCCCGAGGCGCCCGCACCCTCCGAGCGCGACTCCCGAAGTGCTCCTTCGATCGTATTGGAGGGGCGATGCTCGAATGCTGGGCCTGTTTTCTCGGGCCGGAGCGAGGAGGAGAGGTGGATAACGAACGAGGGGGGGGGAGGAGAGCGGAAGGAGGAATCGGGCCGGACGAAAGGGGGGGATTGGGAAAGGGGGGGGTACGAAATTTGCCGCATGCAGCTGCTTTCGGCCTCACCGAGGGGCCCATTCCTCGATACATAGCCGCCTCCGGCGCCAGGAGGCGCCGGGAAAATCAGCTACGTGAGCTGATTCTCACCCCCCCCCTGTGCTATCCCCCCCTTTCGCCCGACCCGATTTTCCACCACCACCACCAACACCACCACCATAAGTTGGAGGGGGGAAGGAGGTGTGTTCCCCAGCAGGCGCCTCGCCGGGAGCGTCCCGGGGGGGCCCGAGCCGTTTCGGAGGGCCGCCCGCTGCCAGAGACCCCAGACCTCCAACGTGTTGAAAAAATCAAGACGGAGTTGTTTTTCGATTTTCGGCCTCTGGCGGCCCTCGCCGGGCCCTGTGACCGTCAAAAAACGACTCGGGATGAAAAGCCGGTCCTGGGGAATGGGTCGAGACTTCCGGGGAACCCGTATTGAAAAATTCGCGACATCGGATCTCTGGGACCCGAGTTAGGACCTGAAGACCACCAGCCCAGAACCCATTCGTACTTCTGGGCCTCCTAGATGGGGTCGGAGTAGTGGGGTCGGAGGATCGCGCCGCATCGCCGATGCATCACCAATGCAGCTCGATGTGGAGCCCGATTTGCTTCACGTCGACGTCGCGATGCATCGCCGACATCGACGATGCAGCGCCGGTGCATCGGCGATACATCGCTGATACATCGCCGACGTATCGCCGATGCGGCGCGATCTTCCGACCCCATCTACTGCGACCCCCTCTAGGAGGCCTCTGGTGCCGCGGAAGAATTGTGACAAAAGGTTTCTGGGGACACCACCCGGTATCGCCTGGACCCCACGAAAGTCGGGTCGGCGGCCGATGATCTGACCTCCTCGTGGATGTTCTTGCGACGCTATGCCAGGCCCTGCGCACCGCATGGAGATTGCATCTTCCTCTGTGCTTCCTCGCCTGCTCTGGCTGCTGCTGAGCTCGCCCTGGGATCCGCTGAGAAGATTAGTTCGGACCCTCCGAAGGGTTCGTACAGGCCAGTGTTCCAAGCTGCGCCCAGCCATGGCGACGAGAATCTCCAGAAACGCCCCAAATTTCTCAACGACGACGACATCGACGGCGTCGTCGACCCCGTCGTCGCCGACGCGCTTCAGGGTCATCCTGGGTCACCTGGGCACGTCCCTGGAGGAGGACCCGCAGACGCTCACTTATGCACCGCCAACGTGCCTGACCAGGGCCATCCTTGCACCTGCCATGGCGTATGCACCCTTCCGGCCTCGGCCAGGAGGGCTTACTCAGGAGGGAAAAAAACACACAGACACAATTAATTTGCGATCCCCAGAAAATATGGGAAAATATGGGAAGTGGGGGGGAAGACAAAACCCAGAAAATATGGGAAAATATGGGGAATCATTTTATTTGTGTGTATTTATTTGTGTGTCCCAGTTTCCCTTCACTTACGTCATCCTGAGATCCGAGGCCGCGATGAGAAAACGCAACATCTTTGAAGCATCACGGCCGGAACCTTCGGCCCCGTCGTTCTGTTGCATGTCTCCAGCGGGAATCGATCCGTGAGGGACTGGCGGCCCGAGACGGAGCGAAACTCCCCGTCGTGAAGGAGTCGCGACGCCAGGGGGTCTCGGGGTACACTGTCAGGTCCCAGGATGGCATTGGCAGGGCACTCAGACCTCCGATGCTTGTTTCTCCCCAGGGGGGCTCCGAATCACTTCCGACTCATCTTTTTTGGGGGGGGGGGGTTCTTCCCGGAGCAATTTTCGATTTGCCCCTGGTCCCGAAAGCGGGCCCCGCGAGTCCGAAATCTGCGGGAAAGCTGCGGGTTAGAACAACCAGATCGTCGGGAGGTCTGGGGGGCGCGTAAGTGCCAAGGGGCGGGAGCAAAACGACACAGTCACAGACAAATCTCCGTTGCCACGGCAAGAGGGGCAGAAACTGGAAGCGGAGGGGAGGACGGAAACCCAGCCATTCACCTCCCAAGATGGGGCATCCTGGAACATGTGTCCATGTATTCGTATTTGCCTGGGCTTGAGTCGTACCTCTCCCTCTACGGGAGGAACTTTCCGAAAGAAGCAAAAGATAGCCACGGGGCGACTCTGGGAGTCGTTTTGATCCTGTTTGACTACTATCTGAAGTCTATTGTAGCTTGCGTCGAAAAGCCCCCTGCAGGGGGGACAGGCCCGCCATAAACTTAACTCGTGTCTTCCTGGGCCCCGCCTGCGGGCGCGCCGCCTGCGCCCCGCCACCACGACCATACGTTGGACGGGGGACGGAGGAGGAGGAGGAGGAGGAGGAGGAGGAGGAGGAGGAGGAGGAGGAGGAGGAGGAGGAGGGAGCCCCTCCTCCTCCTACTTCTGGTGGTGGTGGTGGAACGCGGGCCCACCACCTCCCTGGGCCCCCCTGCGGGCCGCACCACCGCCCTGCGCCCCCGCAGGAGGCCGAGGCGCTGCTCCTCGGCCCCGAGGCGCCGCAGCTGCTGGAGGGGGCCCCCGAGGCGCCCGCCCCCGCGGGCGAGCTGGCGATCATGCGCTGGCCGCCGCGGGACACGTGGGGGCAGGACCTCAGCCTGCTGCGGCGCCCGGGGAGGGGGGGCGAAAAAGCCGGACCTCCAGCGGGCCGAAGCGAAAGGGGGGGGGGATGGGGAAAGGGGGGGGTATACGACATTATTTGCTGCGTGCCGCCGGTTTCGGCCCCGCCGAGGGGCCCATTCCTCGATATTTGGGCGCCTCCCGCGCGGGGAGGCGCCGGGAAAATCAGCTACGTGAGCTGATTCTCCCCCCCCCCCTGTGCTATCCCCCCCTTTCGCCCGACCCGATTTTCCACCACCACCACCACTATAAGTTGGAGGGGGAAGGAGGTGTGCTCCCCAGCAGGCGCCTCGCCGGGAGCGTCCCGGGGGGTGCCCGAGCCGTTTCGGAGGGCCGCCCTCTGCCAGAGACCCCAGGCCTCCAACGCATTGAAAAAATCAAGACGGAGTTGTTTTTCGATTTTCGGCCTCTGGCGGCCCTCGCCGGGCCCCTTTCGCCCGGCCCGACTCCAGCGCACGGAGAAAAAGTCCAGACGGAGGTGTTTCTCGAGGTTCGGCCTCTGGAGGCCCTCGCCGGGCTCCGGGGGCCCTCCACAAAGACGACTCCGGACGAGAAGCCGGTCCTGGGGCACGGGTCGAGACTTCCGGGGACCCCGCATTGAAGGGCACAAATCACGACGTCGGATCTCTGCGGGGAGGAGAAAAGGGTACCCACACCGCTACCCTCGGCCCGTTCTCCTCCCCCTTTGTGGGCCTCCTCGGAGGCCCTCGTCGCCACCGTCGGGTTCGCCTCGAGACTCTGGCCAGAACGCACCCCTGGAGAGGTCCGGGGAGCAGCGGCATCGGCACCGTTTGGTCTCCCCAGAGCAGCTGCCACTTGAGGGCCCCTCCCCCTCGGGTGGTTCCAGGATGGGGGTCCCGAGGGACGGGGGACCTAAGGATGAACGAACGAACGAACGAAGCCGCGCCCTGACGGCGCATTGGCACACAGATGGAAAATGCTGATCACATGCGTGCCGGCATGCAGAGAAAAAAATGAGCCTGGCGAAAGACCCAACCGTACGCAGTTGAGAGCGCCGCAATTGTGAATATCGTCTTCGGTGGAGCTCCCTATGAGGCCAAGAACCGCGTGAGGGGTGTGCCGATGTATGGCGGGGAACGCAACGCGGAAGGAAACGATAGGTCTGATAACGAGAGCCTGAGAGCGGGTGAGTCTGAGCACGAGTGGGTCTGATTGTGCATGAATCTGCGTGCGGGGGAGTCTACGTGGATGAATGTCGACGCCCATATCGGCACCCCCCCTCGCGTGGATCGCCCCCGCTTCCTCCCGTTTTTTTTCTCCCTCTTTGCCCGCGCACTCCAGTGCCCAAGGCTGCGGGCGCAGCGCAGCACGGAGTCCCCGCGACGCGCGCTGGTCGCCCCGAAGGGGTCCCAGCAACGCACGCGGGTCGTCCGCTGCGCGGAGCAAAGTGAGCTAGTTGGCTGGCTGGGAGCGGGCAAGGCTCTGGGCGCCAGGCAGAGCGACGACGGGCGAACGAGGCGCTGGGCAGTGCGCAGCACGGAGCCCCCGCGAAGCACGCTGGTCGCCCCGAGAGGGCCCCAACGACGCGCACGGGTCGTCCGCGGCGCCCGGCCGAAGTGTGGGACAGCCTGGATATGCCGCGTGCTCGGGCGGGCCGCTCCCCAGGTCATGCCTCGCGGACCAAGTCGGTGAATCCCAGCTACCCGGCGAGGGTCGTGGCCTCCCTCCTGCACCGCTTCGTGCGCGCAGCAAACTGCTCCAACTGTTTCCGCAAGCCCGCCGGCGGCCCCGCCAGGAAGAACTCGATGCGTGGCGCCCGCGTGAGCAGGAGGTCCTCGTGGCGCGTGGCGCGCGAGAGCAGCACGTAAAGCTCCAGCCACCAGTCGTCGTCGTCCTCTGGCCGTGGACTGCCCGGGGGGCGCTGTTCCCCCGCCCCGTCGCCTTCTCGCATGGTGCGCCCCTGGCACGCCACCGTGGTGATGCCCCTGCCGTGCGAGAGCGGGAAGCCCGTCCGGGTGACCTTGGAGGTGCGGAACGTGAACGGCTCCGACGTGCGAGGCTCGATGAACACCAGCGGGCCCGTCAGGTCCCCTGTGAGGGTGTCGTCGTGGCGCTTCAGGTCGCCCACGACGGGCGCGCTCGCGTACTTCTCCATGCACACCCAGAACCCAACGGGAAGTGCTTCAGATAGATCCTCTTCTCCCCGTCTCTCTCGGCCCTCTCGACGTCGCCACGATCCCGAGGGTCCGCGACGACGTGCACGATCTGCCCCTCGGCATCCTTGACGAGGCCGCTTTTGTGGTCCAGCGCCTCCAGGAGCCGGATCTGCATGCCCACGTGCACCGGGAGCAGTCCGTGCATGCCACCGGTGTTCTTCGGGTTGGCACAGTTCATCATTTTGGCGGCGTCTTTCTTGCTCATCGTCGGGGCAGATCTGTCGGCGTGCTGCACGAGGAAGAGGGGCTTTTTCAGGACGTCCGCGTCCCGCTGGGCTCGCATATTCATCCTGCGCGCCACGGTGTCCCAGTAGGACCCAATCGTGTGGCCGTTCTGGAACCTTTCCTCCCGGAGTCTACGATCATCGGGTTTCAGCTGCATGGCGTTCCACGTGGCCCGGATGGCCGGCGGGACCTGCTTCCCCGGCTTGCGCAGGAACGCCATGAGGTCCCTGAGCTTCGGGTCCTTAAACGGTTGGGCCCGTTTCACATTCTCGACCCCGTTTTCACATTCTCTTCCCTTCCCCCCCCCTCCTCCACATCATCATCACCATATTCCATTGTCTTCGGTGCTTCCGTCCACCTTCGCCCCCAGGCTTGAAAGTCGCAAACAAAGCAAGCCAAATCGAACTTCGCACTTTTTTGTGCCTGCCCGGGAATACAAACGCCTCATCCCTCGATCCCGTTTTCACCCCCTTTTCTTCCTCCTTTTCCGTATCCCCCCCCACGTCTTCCTCCTAATATTTCCTTCCCATCCGCTTTCTCCTCGTCTTTCTTTCCACTATCCCTCATCCCGTCGTTACCTGCGCCCCCCTCCGCCACCAGAACAGGGCAGCGCGAGCAAAGCCAGCCAAATTGACCTTCGCACATTTTTTCGAGCCAGGCCCGGGTAACCCGCACTTCGCCGCTAACCCTCTCCTCCTCCTCCTTCTCTTCCTTCTTCGCCCCCTCTTCCTGTTTCTCCCCCTCCTCTTCGTGATGTTTCCCCCTGCCTCCTCCCCCAGCATGCCCGCCGCCGGCCCCCAAGGGGAACGTTAAACGTCGCAAGCAGAATTAACCAAATCTAAATTCAGCGCGCGTGCGCCTTCGACCGCTTCCGCTCGGCATCCTCGCGTTTCCGCAAGACCGGGGCGGGGTTCTCCCGCTGCCGCTCGGCCCGAGCCTGCTTGAAAAAGTCAGAGGAGAAGGACGGGCAGCTGTCGGGCGTCGCCTCGGCGCCCGCAGCTTCAAACGCCTGGACGACGTCTTCCCGCGTCGTGCTCAGGGACCATGTGACGCGGTGCACGAGCGCCCTGCGCGCGTGCGCGGGCAGTTGCATGAATTGCGGCAAAAGGGAACAAGTTTCCAACCAGCATAAAGCAATGCGCAGCAGCTGGGTCTGTGCTCTGTACAGGGACACCTGAAGGTCGCGATGACGGGACATCTGGCACAATCCGTTCCAAACGTTCACGGGCGCCTTCTTGCCGCGGGCACACACGCGGATGAAACGGCGCCACGAGCACCCGAGCATCTGGAGAATGTAAAGACACAGACACACAGCGAACTTCGCATTGAGCAGCGAGAGCATGCGCTTCCAGGTGCCATACGTCGTCTCCTCGACGCTCGCCTGGCCCACCTTCTTCCTGAGCATGCTAGCGTGCAGCGCCCGCGGAGACGGTCCGAAGTAGATGTACCGCTGCCGCAGGTGCATCACGCGAGCGCACATCTCAAAACCGGACGCAGGCTGCAAATCGCAGTCCCTGTCCAGTTCTGAGCACAGGCAAGTGTGCATCATACAAATTTATCAGACAAAGGGAATTGCATCCTTTAGACGAAGGTGCGCAGGTGGAACGGGATCTTCTCAGGGAACGTTGGCCGCCCCAGTAATTCGAAGCGCAATAGCTCCAGCATATTCCGCTCAAGTCTCCTTTGCGCAATTCCCATGTCCAGCTCGCTGCCCCGGAGAAGACGCAGGAGATCAGACAGCATTGGCCCGACGATCGCAGAAGGGGCGGCCCATCCAGGCATCGCCTCCAAGAGGTGGTCAATCGGCCTATAACGCTTCGAGGCCACGAACTCCACCTTGCGGCCGCGCACCCACTGCTTCCGGCCATCGCCGACATTGTTAGTCGCGGCGACGTCAGACCGCGTCTCGAGAATGCTGGCCAGAAGCGCCTTCGCTTTCTCTCCGAAGGATGCGGCGTTATCTGGCGAGAGGCCGTCCTTCACCAATTGCTGCGTCTGCTGCGCAAAATTTTGGTCCCAAGAAAAAGTTATCGCTGATGATCATATATTCGCCGATATATTTGAAAGCCATGTCGAAGAAAGTCCAGGCAGCCAAGCTCGGGCCCGCTACAGGCGCAGAGCCGTGTAACTCTGAGAACATGCCGATCGACTGGGCGGATCGGGTCCGCAGGGCGGCATCGAAATATGGCAATTGCCCCGTGCTTAACCCTTCCTTGACCACGTACTGGTGCAGAAGGGGCGCGCCGTCGAAAACGGCCTTAGCCAAATCTCTCGTGGGGGACGCCTCGTCCACGACATCGGTAAACAGACACAGCGGCTGCATGGCCAGCATAAGGACGAAGAAGTACATGAGCGACCTCCAAAGGGCCTGGTCGCGGGAGCCGACCACGCCAGCAATGTCGTCGATCCTGGACATCAGTTCCGGGGGGCAGCGGTCGGCATCCTTCCGATAGCGCCCCTTCTCTAAGAGCACGTGGCCCGGAGGCGGGGCAGCCACTGGGGAGAAGCCGGGGGCGATATCAATGGATTCGGCGGAATCACTACTGGTGCTGCTGACGCTTTCAGAGTCAGTCGTCTCCGCGGC